GCACTCCAACGCCCAAGTCAGGACAAGCGGGTTAAGAGAGAATAATATTAATTATAAAGAAAAAAGTAATATAAAGATATATATTTTTTAATTGATTAAGAGAAAAAAAAAAGTATTAATTAAAAAAAATAATATAAAAATATTTTTTAAAAATTATAAAAATAAAAGAAAAGCATGGCACGCTAGACCAAATTTATAGTCTAGTTACATTAGTGATAAAACTTTCTAGTGTTTATTAGTTTTAACAAAACGTGTATCTTTGAAATTATTCAGCATTTTTATGCATGAATATTAACTAAATAATTTTTTTATTTTCTAAAAATATGATTTCACAATTTGAACCCTTAAAAGGGTACTTGTTTCACAAATTAAAGGCACTCTTACCTATCAAAATACTAATCAAGAATCTTAACTAAAATTAACAAGTTATAAAAATTGTACCTAACCATATTTGAACAATCAAAAAATATATATAACAAAATTTTAACTTAAAAAATAAAAGTTAATTTTTTGTAATAGTTTTTAATTAACCAATTGTTATAAAACCAATTAATTTTGGTTATGGTTAAATTTTTTTATAAGATCACCCTTAATTTAGGAATTATTTTTCTTCTCACAGTATTAGACTTTTAGATATACCAAATTAAAGGAACCAAAACCTCAAAAAACAAAAAACAAAAAAGAAACAAGAAGAAGATTATATGTGTTTATCCTTTCCGGCATAGGAATTTTCTAACAAGAGAGATACACTAACATAAAATAGTTGATAAAAATTTAACACTAACCCTTACTTTATGTGTCTCTCCTAGTGGACAAGATCCAGTGATCCACACACTTGAAAATGTCATCAAGACATATATAATAGCTCTCAAACCGGTGATCACTAAGTCATATAACAGAGACTATAAAATACTTTTAAATTGAAAAAGATCATTATTATTAACAAAATGAGCAGTTATTTTTTATATTTTTTCTTCTTATTACATCTTTAAATATATATTAATGAGAAAAAAAAGTTAAAATATAAAGTAAATTACATTATTCTCACATGAGAGATATTATACCGCTCTCCTCTTTTATGTTAAAATATATAAATTTTGTTACTCTTCTTTGAGAGATAAGAATATTAGACTTTCATATCCTTTTAGGTTAAAATATACAATTTAATTCATTTAACTTAAGGTCATTAATGTAAATTTTACTATTCTTCCTTTAGAAATATAAGTATTACATTATCTACCATTTATATGTTAAAATATCAAATAAATCATCTTTTTATCTCTTAAACTTGAAAGATACAATTATTGTATCATTATTCTTCTATATTAACTTAACATCGCAAAAAAATAATTATTCTAATATTTTAAAAAATAATTTTAATTTAATTATTCATAAAAGTATATTTTTTAATTTAATTAATCATAAAAATATACTTTAATTAAAATATATTTTCAAATACTTTTATTTCATTATCATTCATTTACTTATTAAAAAAATGTAAAACATATAATTAAATTTAAAATTAATTAATTAAAATAATAAATAAAATAAAAACTATAAA